GCGTGAGCGGGCGCTCGTCCGCGTCGGGCGTGGTAGCACGCATGCGCCGCCGCCCTCCGGCGGGCGCTGTGGGCGTGAGTAACGCCGTGCGCTGGTTTGTGCAGTAGGGAACTGCCTGTTGTTGGTACAGACAGCTAGCAACAACGGTTCAGGAAGGTTTCCCAGAGTGCGCCTGGATTGCGGGGAGGGGACCTCCGCGAAGGCCTCTCGGTAGCAGGTGAGGCTGGGCGTACCCAGCCTGCAAACCCGCCTACTGCAGGTCGCTTGTATGCACACACGTGGGTATAAGCTGTTACAAAGCGTGCATTTTATAATACAGATGCCTATAATGTAATGCACATAGTTACGTGACCCTTCAGAGTTGGCCAGAAAGGGCATCCCCCCCCTCAGTCACTTCTCCGGCAGCACCAAGGCTCGGCCGCTTCTTGGCCTAACAGGCTTTTTAACCAGCTCACAGGGCCGTACCCCCCTCTACTCAGCCTTACTTGTATGGACACGGTCTCCAAACAAGGTCTTCAGGTGCTCCTCGTACGTACAGGCCATGGCAGGAACCCAGAGAGGAAGAAAATAATGCTGAGGGGTCAGTGCTGGCCAAGGTAAGGGTGTTTTTCCAGGCCACCACCCTGCCAGCAGCTGGAGGCCAAGGGAGGCAGCAGCTAGGTTTTTAAGACACAGCCCACACCATCTGCAGTTGCCCAGGATCCTTCAGGGTGTGTACTTGTCTCCCACAGGGGTAAGCTTGGAGGGCCTGGTGCATGCTGCCATGCTTTGCTTCCATTATCTTGATGTTCCCTACTACAAACCCCACCACTCTTTGTGATGATGATAGCAAAGTTGGTGGGGGGGGGGAAAAAAAATCATAAAACCACATGGGCTTCTACCATGAGCAACACTTCCTGCAGCTCAAGACATGCCTAAGTCAAATACTGGGAAACTCTTAAACTTCAGCAATTTCTGTTTTGCAGTTTCAAACAAAAAGATTTGTCTATATCCAACAGCAGTGATCAGTTTTTTCCAACAGGGTCATAAAAAATGAGAAAGGTATTATATTATGTACACACAGTAAACAGACTACACTCCTAATTTTACTGCCTTGTGAAAGATTATTTTCCGTGGTGTGGGGAAACACATGGAATGGTTAGATTAAGCATTACTATGAAATGCAAAATTGCTCGCACAACTGTATACAACCATTTAAAAGACAAGCAGAAATGTCTCAAGATGAAGCAGCAAGTAAACATTTAAAACAAGTGTATTTTTAAAAATGTTTATTGAAATGCCTTCATTGCATCATGCAGGATACAAAAATCATTATTAGAAAACCTTTATAACCATACTTAGGAGTAAAATCAAGATACATCAAGGAAAAATAACAATTATATAAACGAAAGCAATTTATTTCTGATAGTGTTTTAAATCATTAGATTACAAGCTGTGATCCGCACAGATGATAACAACTATCTTGTGATAACAGTCCCTTCTTTCATGATTCAAGTCGAAACTCAGTCGTCCTAGGGCAACCGTATCACCTGTGTATACCACAAAAAATCCAACCCATTACAGATACAGGGTTAAAAAAGTGTAACAAAAATACTCTGCCAGCATACTTCTGTTCTGCTTTCAGTTTTTCATTTGTTCCGTCAAAACCCATTAACTCTTCATCAAGGAAAAAGGAAAAAAAGGCTAATGTGCTTTCTTCTATTACACAAACCACATAGCACGTCATTTTTGATCACTGGGATAGAACCTCTTTAAAGTCATATTATAAGAGACTTTCTTGAAGTTCAGTTCAATTAAATAATTTACGGTTTTGCAATTATTACTCACGGACTTGGAAGTGATTTTAAAACGGGAGACCACTGCTCCCTCAATATTTTTGTTGGTGGAGGAATCTGGATCTCTGCTACTTACAGTTTTTTGGGTTTTAAATTCATACACTGCTTAGTGTAAAATCTTAGCGCTTGCCCGTTTCTGTTTATTCCATTTGACAGTAGTATTCTCTGCAGATACGCATTTAAAAAAAAAAAACAAACCCGGCTCCAGGGCTGCAAACTTGGCTCCAAAGGATTTAGATAGGTAGAGGCTTTGATGCTGGCTCCAAGGGGACCAGTGTTGGAGAGGTTTCAGCGGAGCATTCACTTGGCACGGAGTAAGGTTAGAACCACGCTGGGACCTTGCTACGTAAGAGAAAACTGCTGGAAGGTCTAGAAATCAGCTCATTCTCTTCAACAGTGAAGATTAAAACAAAACCCTCCTTATGCAGAATTTTATACATGTCTTTCCACGTCATATCGTTGTGGAAAAATGCATCTTTATAAAGCTACCCTTCTCTTTTTTTTTTTTTGTTGGGCTCCACAGGTGCAGACTTGAAAGATAGTGTTGGTGTCACTGGGTGTTTGCACGCACGGAGTATCCTAACAATTCACTTACATTAAAAGTCATGAAGAGTTTTGGCACAGTTCTCTTACAGACAGTTGGGCTCAACTAAACAATTTGGAAACCTTATGATAAGGGAATTGTTTAACTCTTTGGCTCTGTCGTAATACCTGACTACTGAGGCAAGAACTGTGTGTACCTTAGGGTTGCTTTATGCTTTTATAAAATACTTGACTCAAAGTTTTAAGAAAGTCACCTCATCATCTATAAATGTCAAATGCTGCATATTAAAATATGCTCATCACACCTTTTTTGTTCTGTTACTAGAATTTTTGCATACTGGTGAGAACACAAGCGTTTGTAAACTGTTTGGTATTGAGTTTATGAAGACATTCTTCACACCAGAGAATTTGTAGAAAATTATCACTGAATCAAGATGCCATCATTAAAATTGCCTGATTATCCACTTTGGAGCACTACAATTCTTTCAAGGGCTCTAGCTCTTTCATTCCTCTAAAGGTCAACTAAGACAAGTAACCAGCCCCCCTGTTCAACGCATTTGTAAAACCCTCAGCCTGAGCTGTTGGGTGCATGTCATAAGGAGGACATTTCAGAGTATTCGCTGGCTTTTCAGGTTTCCCTACGTATGGCTAACATCACTGTGACGTTATTGCAGTATGCCCCGCAGCCCCCTTTTGTTACAGCATGAAGTGGGTGTAGCCCTCCGCACCGGTGACAATAACGTCCATCCATATCCTCATGGCTTCTGGCGAAGGAGCAACCATATAGTATATCCGGTCGTGTGTCTTGACGCTGAACGTGAGCAATGGGTTGGGACTCTAAAATAAAGCAGAAAGAAGGATATCAAGAGAGTGAAAGCAAATGTATTGGTACCGGAAGTGAGATTCCTAACAGGGATTTACGACAGGGTTAAGGAGAAAGATAGAATGCCAAATGCTGTACCACTGCATCCCGTGCACTGCAGGTGTCCGTATCATAGAACCACAGAATGGTTTGGGTTGGAAGGGACCTTAAAGACCATCCAGCTCCAAACCCTCTGCCACGGGCAGGGACACCTTCCACCAGACCAGGTTGCTCAAAGCCTCATCCAGCCTGGCCTTGAACACTTCCAGGGGTGGGGCATCCCCAACATCTAGGGGCAACCACAAACATTTTTTACAGCATATTTCCACCAGACTATTACGCGGCAGTACAGGGCTCTAAACTCTTCCGTCCCTGAATAACTAACTCCCTCACTCTGTCCAGTGGTCAAAGCCACCTTGGCTTTCACAAATCCAGGTGCTGAGGGTCTGTTCAGCTTGTTCACCGCTCATGTGAATGACCGAGGAAAAGCTGGGGGCACTGCTGTATAGAACGCCACTAAAACAGCAGTAACAAAGTTTACCTTATACGCATTCTTTAGATGGTCATAGTAGACTTCTTCAATAGCTTGGAAATATATTACACCTTTTAATTTAGTTTCGTGTTTGTCTAAAATGGAAAAGAGAGAATGACTTGAGAACAGAAATGAACAGCACTTTAAGGAGCAAAAGCTTATTTCACCTTTCAACGCGTGTTCAGCTGATGACTAACTGGACTAACTCTTTTGCTTGTGAAATCCCACTGAAATTTTCAACCTTTCTTACTAGTTGGTTGGTTTTGTTGAGAGATGCATTTCCTACTCTAATATGGGTTTTTTCCACCCATTTTCCAAGGAAGTAAAGCTTTTGCTCTTCCTCTATTTGCAAGTCGATCCCTTCAGTGAAGTGCCCAGGTGTTACGGCTGGTATTAGCCAACAGAAGGACAGATGTCCCCGAGACACATCCCACCTTCCAGTTCCATGAAAGCCAGCCAGACTTCGCGTGGCTCACGGGCTAAGACCTAGAGTGTGCCTTCAAAAGAAAACTGCTCTGATAAGCAAATTTGAAATGTGATTTGACAGCAAAAGCTGTACATTAGAACGTCATTTGTGCTTGTACCTATTAAAAAGTGCTTCTTCCTGTTTATGATTATCTCCCTCAGTCTCAAGCTAATATTTATTACTCAAATGTGAGGTTAGGAGATTGTAGGCAAATTTCTGTGAGCCCTGCCATATGGAAAAGTTTACAGGGGGTTAAATATTCCCAGGCACCAGCAGCAGCATAATTGTCTGTGTGCACGCTCCTGCTCTGACACCCAAGGTAGAAGCCAAATTAATTAGATGCAGTTTGCCCCTGTTGCGAAAGGGAACCCCCCCATTTGCTTCAGAGCGCTCGAGGGAAGAACTCCTGAACGGATGTTACTCCAGGGAGGCTGCCAACAGGGAGCAGGTTGGTATCCAGTGGTACTGTTTTTGTGGTACCTACAGCCCGCCACAGCTAAGCTAAAATACAGGGTGAGAGCCTTGCCACTTCGCTACCTACTAAAGTTCTGGTTCTGCAACGGAGACACAGCTGACCATCTCCCTTTAGAGACAATGGAAAGCAGCAGACACTTGCAGGGTCTGAACTACTGTAGACATGTTCTGATATTGCCTGCTGTCCCAGCATTAGCCAGTGAATGATTAGGGTAAGGAGGAACTTAACACCTTAACGGTCAAAGCTGTAATGCTTCACAGGAACAAGCAACGGGGCAGTTAAGCACCTACAGTACTCTCCGTTTGCCTGCAGTGGAAGAGAAATTGTTAAATAAACCCAGAGGGTGTTAAGCAGCATCCCAACTGCATGTGACACCGAAGGGTAAACTTCCCTCCTCTCTCCATACTTGTGTATTAGGGGACCATAATGCCTTCTCACCCCAGGTTAGTACCGCCTTGACACCGAACGGTCAGGCACAACATCTCCATCAGTCCCGCGAGAGATTCTGATGTCGTCCTGAACACGCGCAGCTTTCAGCTTACATCCTATCACCAGCTGCAGGCAGTTTCGAAAGCTTCACGTGACGGCCAGAAGAAATCCCGGAGACCAAATGATACGGCCTTGGGAATCTCCCTGCCAGCCCCCAGGGGACCAGCCGAAGTACCGCAGCGTGGTATGACAGCACACCTTACGCTAAGCTAACTGCAAAGCACACTGCCTGTACAGTACAGGCAAACCCTGAGCCACCCTCCTCTCCAGCCCCCCTGGGGCCTTGGTTACAAGAGCATTTCAGGTACCCACCAGCTCCCATCACAGGCATGAGTTGCCTGCATGCTTCATGTGCTGCAGTCCCTGCACTAAACTGCCAAGCTTCAGGGTAAGCTCTTTGTTCAGCACGCTTGCAGAACTAAAACAGCATACCAGCATGTTCACTTAGAGTTAAATTGCTTTGAATTTACAGCATCGATATTTATTTTTGAAGCTTCCTATATATTTAAGGATCTAGATGGATCCTCACTCGTACAAGCAGCTGCATTTTTCTGCAGCTGGTACAGAATTCTCATGAAACTCTTGTTTGTTGGCTGGAGTCCTTGAGACAGTATGAGAAGTTTTCTTTGATAACTGAAACTGCATTTTGGCAACTGTACGGCACTCAAAACTGAAACTGTTAACTATTAACATGACTACTACCAAAACCCCAACAAATCAGTACCAGATGGGAACACTACTGTACGCTACAGGCCTTGCTAACCAATAAACCAGATGTTAAGAACAAAGTAAAGTTTGTCATGTTCTTCACAGTATTACTGCAAACTAGTAAGAAATATTCAGGGGGTATGTAATGAATTCAAATATGTATTTTAAGAAGGATGGACTAAGCAATGCATAACCCTACCATCAATTTTAAGTTCCTTAAGAGCTGCTGGAAAGCAGTAATGTCATAAAAGGAAATGGAACTGTTTGGGTGGGTTTTGTACTCGATGTTTTCTTCTGACCATCCTACATATGCCCCTGTCTAGCCTCTCGTAATAATAAACACTCAGAACACAGAGTCATTTTTTCTGGCTTTCTCTGAAATTTCAAAGTCAAACCATGCGTAGATTTGCACAGCAATCAGAGAGACATACATATTCTTAAATTCCAAATTTCTGGGTTTACCCTAAGACCATAAATAATGTATTGCTTATAATGGCTCCAGATGTCATATAACACAACTTAGTGCACAGAAACATCTGTGGAGTATTGCATATTGTTCATTTGAAGTTCCTTAGACTATCAAAATATTGCAAACTCAAAAAGTCTACTCCTGTATATTTAATATCCTGAAAGACTTTTCAGCACATCAAGCAACAGGACTGCAGAAGGACCATTTCATTTTCACAGTAAGTATAACAAATTATATTCTTGTGTGAAGGGTACAAGAAATTGTTCTGTTGTTGGGGGAAGTATATAATATTTTAAAATAAATTAGGTAGAGCCATTATTCTGTGTACGAGGAATGTGATGATCTGAGCGGTCATCCCCCTAGGCTCGGCACTGGTGAGGTTGCACTGTGTACAGGATGTTCAGATTTTGGGCCCCTCACTGAGGTGCTGGAGAAAGACACTGAGGTGGTGGAGCGTGTCCAGACAAGGCCACAGGCGCTGGC